AAAACTTTTTTCTAATCTTCAATCTTTACCTCAAGATCATATTTATTAAAAATATCAATAAAATTAACTCAAATCACTCAAACCAAAATAAAATTAGAGTATATAAATAATTCTACATTAATTGATTCAAGGAAATAGCTTAATTCCTTATCTTCTAATTAAAAATCTTAATTTTAATATCAATCAAAGTAACATCTTATTAATTGTTTTTCTTCATTCTAATTTTCTCTATGAATTGCTTCGAATTCTCTTAATGAAATGAATATAAATCTAAAATATTTAGAATTTAAGACTTATAAATTTTAAACTTTTTATCCAACTGTAACATCAAAGTTGTTATAAAATCCAAACTTATTAAAAAACTTATTATACTCATTGTCTGTCCAATAAAAATAATATCCTATATTGATATCTCCAATCCGATTATGATTTAAATATCATTTTAATAATCAATATGCTATGCCCTTTCGATTCTTATTTCTTTTATATTATAATAATATATATGCAAGAAGAACAATAAAAATTTTGATTAATTAACTCTTTAAATACAAATAAACTAAATTATTTTAAGTTGAAACATTGATTGCATCAAGACTTTGGACTATTATACATTACTATTCAAATCTTCTCTAGAATTACATAAAACTAGTATTAAATATGAATCAAAATTATTTAAACCATAATTTTAGCAATTAGTTTCAACTAATCTAAATATTTAATGAGATTAATATATATAAGAGAGAGATATGAGTCAAGCAATTTTTAATTCAATTTAAAAAAGTATAAGAATTAGAATACACTTAAGATCTCATCAATCAGAATTAAAATAAATAATAGGGTTTAACACTGATTAAATTAGTTTAATTAGGACATTCTTAGGAATATCAAATTAGCGATGATCAATTTATTCAATAATAATAGATTTATTGAATATAAAATATATTTAATATTTATTTTGCTCTTAACAATTACCTAAAAAATTAAATGCTTTTCTGACTAATGTACAAATTTTGTTAAATATGATGATTTAAAATTAAGATTTAAAAGCTGAAATTTAGAAACATCAATTAAAAAACAAATTATTATTAAGGGTATAGCGAATAATGATAAAATATTTCACCTTCAAAACTCTTAGAAGTAACTTATTATTCAAACACTTAAAGAAATTTCAAAATTATAATAATTCTCAGATAGATGATCTTAAATTTATCAAGTTATATAACAAATATAGTTATTCAAATTAACTATCTATGTAAGATTCATATATAGTACGCAAGTACATGGGGTTAGATAATGAGAAAATTGGATATTTATGTTAAGATTAAAAGTTGCGTTAACTTTTTAGTTTATTTTCAATAGAAAGACTATTAGATAAAAATATTAATTTATATGGATGTTTCAAATAATATTGGATAGAAATTAATAATAAAATAGATAATTTGATATTAATAGCTTTAGGAGTCTTTTCGAATATTAGAATATTTTCTGTTAAAATTTCAATTATGATATTATTATCTAAAATATAAATAGAATTTGTAACAATGCTTGTATTGGATAGTATTCGAAATATTAGATATGACATTTTAAAATTAAATTTGATATGTATTTAGAGAAATTTAAATAATGTTTTATGGAATAGAGTAAATGTATAAGTGAAGTATAGAAATTCATTTTTACAGAATTCCATAAATCCATTCTCCTTGAATTTATTTTCCTTTTAATTCAAAAATAACTCCTCCTCCATTCATTAAACCATTACACAAAAAACCAACATATCTTCTACCATCTGGCCATTCAAAAGTTCCAAGACCACATTTTTAATTTTTAAAATACCACCCAGAATATTTTTTACCATTAGGCCAACTAAATTCTCCTTCACCATGCATCATATCTTCTTTAAATTATCCAATATACTAATGAAATAAAAGTTAGATTAATTACTTTTTTACCATTTGATTAAACATATTCTCCAAAACCGTCCATACAATTATTAACAAAATCTCCTACATAATGTGATCCTTCAGCCCAAATAAATATACTTCTTCCATGTTTTTTACACCATCATATTTTGCTCCATCTGCCCATATTTCAGTACCTCTTCCATGTTATTTATCACATTTCCATTCTCCTTAAAAGAAACTTCCATTATTTTTTCTATAAAATCAATCTACCCTCATAAAAGTTTCCTTCATAAAAATCACCATTTTAATGTAGAAATCTCCCATATCCTTATAGTTAATTCATTTTCCAATCTCTAATTAATTTATATTCAAAATGAATACCCTTCATAAATCGAACCATTTTTATAGCAATATCTTCCTTTGCCATTTCTCATACAATTTACTATTTCACCTGCATAAATTGATCCATCTCTATATTAATAAACTGCAAAATCCTTTATTGAGAAGTTTTCTAATGGTTCCATTTCATCAAATTTACAAGTTGATAATTAAGGAAATGCAAGTTCAATAAATGTTAAACTGTCTTAAGAATTAATTTAAACTGGTTATTACTGTAATGAATTTTCTTAATTTATAGTGAAACCTGTTTTTCTTATTTAATAATTTTTTCTCTACTTATATCCTTTCCAATTTTTTTGAATTTATATTGCTTTTTCTGAATAGTCTTATTCTTTTTTCCTTTATGATTCTTAGTTAAAATTTGAAATAACTTATTAAAAAGGTCTAGGAGAGCTATGAACAGATATAATATTTTCTTATTTTCTATCATTAATTTCCTAATTATTTGATAAGAGTTTACTACACCAATTATTATTTTAAACAGAACCCTTAATTTAATTAAAAAATTGAATAAATTATTAAATTTTTAAACCTATTTTATTAGATTCTAAGTTATTTTCATTTAATCATATTTCCTCTTCATCATCTTCTTCTTATTCTAAATCATTTGCTAATTAATTAAGCTTTTTAGATAGATCTTCTTCAAACTTCTTGCAATACAATTGAGAATATTAATTTAATAATTGTTCCATGTTTTTAAAAACTTTGTTATATTTCAATACTTTTATTCCTTGATATATATCACAATCTAAATCTAACTCTTCTCATTCCAATGTAACAATTTTTACTTTTGTCATTGTATTGACTGTATTTCCTATTTATAATTTTGATACATAGTTTAATTTGAGATACTCTTCAAATTCATTTGAGAAATCCATTCTAATTAAATATATATATATATTGTTTAAAAAGTAAATTATCAATCTCACCTTTTCATAAATGCTTAGCTAATACAAACTCAATCAAAGATATCATTGTTTTATTCTCTTCAATACTTCTTTTAACATTTCTTAGAGCTATTATTTCATTCTCTTTAATCTTTGATAAATTTTCCTGAATCTATTATTATTTTAGTATATTATTACACTAATTCTTTGATAGAGTCCAGTTTTAAATATCTTTTTATTCTTGTTTCTATTTAGCAATTGAACTTTTTCAAGAAATCTTTAAAATTGCTGTTCTTTCGATTTCTTATCCAAATAAATATAACAATCTGCCGTTCTATTATAAACTATTCATAATTTTAAAGAGTAATATACTGTAAATTAATTCTTAATATTTTACACTTGTTGAATTGATAACCCAAAAGCGAAAATGAATTTCCTTAGAATCTGTTATTTCCTATTTCGAACAATACTCAAGATAATAATTTTTCTTTAACTTTCTAAATGTTCCACAATATTTAAAAACTTATTCAATTTTATCAAGATAGTCTATCAAATAATAATAATCTAAATTTACATTAGTCTCTTATTCAGAATTATCAATATCTCTCTATTAACCCACAACTTCTTATTTTGTTTCATAAAAGATTAGTTCTTATTGTCAAGATATTTTAGCAAGTTGAATATACTCTTCTAGACTATCAAACATGTAATCCTCCTAATCTTTTACGCATATATCTAAATTTGTTATTTTTCAATAATAAATTATCCTAATATATTTGTGAATTCATTTCCAAATAAACATACACGTTTATTCAGCTTTAAATTTAGGTATATTCTCTAATCAAAATCAAAAATCAAGGGATTATATAATAAAATTACCATTATATTTACTATTCAGACTTCTTTTCTAAATTAAATATATTTTCTATTTAGGTTATTCAGAATTAAGTATCATCATTATCCTTTGTATTTTTATAAAGTAAACTTGAGAAGTTCTATTTTTAATTGATCATTTAAACTTGCGATATTTATAAAAATTGAACCACTAATATTTCTTTCATTAATTTTTGTTTCATCTAAGTTTAAATGCTGAATTCTTTTCTTCAATCTCAGTCTAAAGTTACAGTTATTTTTAAGTTAACATAAAAATATTTTTTTCATGAGATTTCTTACAATTATGACTAAAATTAAATTTAGATTATTAGAGACTCAATTATTAAAAAAGAAAAATGTATTAGAAGCATTTATATCATTTAGCTATAAAATTTACTAATGGAATTGTTAAACTCAAAATTGATTGAAAATTCTTATTTTGTAAAAAATTATTTACAGTAAAAAGTTGTTTTTCCTTTTATTGATTGATTTCTCTACTTCTCATTCTTTCCCAAAAATCATAATTTTAAATTTTCATTTAGAATATAATATTCCATAAATGTTTTAATATAAAATAGAAAAATGATTTATTAAAAAATTTAAGTATTTCAAAATCAGTTTGACAGTAAAGATATTTACTGTCAAACTATATTTACATTTTTTAATTTTAATAGTGTCAAGTATGTTAAAATTCGTATTAGATGAATCAAATAAATATGATAAGTCTTTTTTGAGATTTAAAGAACATTCAAAGTTAAACAATCTAATGAAGCTACTTAAATATTTAGAGAGCCTTTTTTAAAGGTTAAAGAACTTGAAAGTTAACTTTTTGAAATCTATTGAAAGATAATTTTCATTCAAGAATTTTTAATGCATTTTTGAAACAGAACTTTTGAATAAATTTTGGGAAATTCGCAATTTATATTGTTTATTGAACTGGCTTTTGAAAAAATATCATTAAATAAATAAAATTACTAATTCAAAAAATTTTATTTGTTCTTGAAAAGAGCATTTCAGATTTTATGAGTTATTCATTATTAAAATCAGAATAATAAAATTCTTATTTTAATAAATGAAAGTTGATAATGGAGTTGATGATCTTGATGCTTAAACGCATAAAATGATATATTTTTATAAATTGCTAAGAAAATAAATTTATTAAAAGATTAATAACCTTTATTAAAAAATAGATATTTTTTGATGAAACTTTTATTTCTTTAAATATGAAGTGTTTGATTAATCTCTTTATGCCAAAATTATTGTTTTATTTTTGTTGAGAGTTGTGTGCTTATTTGATTAAATTGAGAATATGAACTTACTATTATTAGAAATAAATATTAATTTTCCAAATTATAAAAAGTTTAAGTTATAAGTATGATACACATGAATGAAAAGAACTAAAATATAAATTTATCTTATGCTCATAATTTATTAGGTAAAATATTAGAATTATTCTTAAATGAAATAAAAAGAATAAATGAAAATTTTTAATAACCCTTTTTAGGAAATTAACTTAAATGTATAGAACTGTAATCCTAATAAAAGTGCTTTACATGAAAATTTAAAAAAATTAGTATCGAAAGATTCATCATTGATATAAAATATTATGCCCGATAGTCAAATTAATGAAAAATACTTAATTTGAATAAAGCCTCTTAAATAATGATATAAGTTATGAACTACTTTCGCTAAATTTGAATCCTTAGAAATTATTTGATAAATATTGCATAATATAAAATTTCAGTTTTTTTATTTAATTGTACGCAAACTTTTTTGAGTGAAATTATCAGATCTGTCAAAGAAAAAAATTAAATTTTTAGCCATAATTAAAGACGTATAGATTAAAAACTATAATATACTTGATAAGATAGAGAGGCAGGATAAAAGTTAGAAGAAATTAATTAAATTAAGGTTGAATTTGAAGATAAATGGCAAAAATTACTGGATGTATAGAATTCATTCTATAATAATTAAATTCAAACGATTCCATCGAAAGGCCAATTTTGCAATTGATTATTATAAAATAAAAAGTAATGCTAGTGTAATTGAGTATATTAGAGTGTTTTTAAATCTTATTTTCACTAAATAATAAATAATAAATATAGATGGGTTAAAGCTGTTGCAATAAACAATCAATAGAATAAACTAATGAATAGATGACTGAATGGTGCTAAAATATTGAAGGAGTTAAATTTTGTGAAAACCTTGATGATTTGTTTATCTCAAATGATTGTAACTCTAATCATCCAAGAATACTAAGCTCTTAAATTATATTTACATTTTAATAATAGCTACCTCCTACCCTATCGTAGGAAAGTATGCATTATGAAAAAATGAGCAGCTTATCAAAGTACATTTTAGATGAAGAAAGCCCAACATTTAAAGCTTAAAAAAACGTATTATCAGAGAAATGATCAAGATTAGTGTGATTTGAAATTTATTTATATATATTGTTCTTATAAACATTTAAAAAGAAATAAATTAGGTATTAACAAATAACCAAATATGTATGTTTATGATTTTCAAAAATAATAAAAATTTTTATTGTGTAATATAAAAATAAGAATAAATATAAAAATGAATATGGTTAAATGTTAATG